ACGGGAAGACCAAATGTTTTGAGAATGATGAGGATAAGGAATGTACAAATGTGCTTTATACAATTGATGTACGTATGGATTGTGATACAAGTTGTATGAGCCCCCAATAAAATGATTTTTTTTAAAGGCAATGGAGTGACGTACACAGCATACTAGAGGAAAAAAACTGTCAACCAAGAATCCTGTAGCCAGCAAAATTATCACTCAAATACAATGGGGAAATAAAAGTATTCCAAGACAAGGAGAAACTGAAAGAATTCACAAAAACAAGACCACCATTACAAAAAATACTCAATTGAGAACTATGACTAAAAAACTAACACACAAGCCTGAAACCAACATACAAGACAATTCTTCACAAGAACACACACACAGATCAACACCCAAAGTAAGCAAATAGCACAGGAAGAACAAAGAAACTAACTGCAACACACATGCAAACATACAACACACACATATAAAACAAAATGACAGTTACAAATACTTATCAATAAGCTCACTGATTAGGCTGGATAAAATGTGATAGTGGGCCTGTTGTCCCCCCTCTAGACCCAGCCTGAAATTGTTCTAGGTGCAAGGATCTCTGGCTTGTTCCTGGCTTTTTAAATATTGATGGAGGTTTTTTCTTTCCTGCTCATTGTAGCATTTTTATCTTTATGTTAGTATTTGTTTTAACCTTACTACTTCATTTCATTTTTGTTCTTTATTGTTTCTGTTGGCTTAACAGTTTACGAACACAGAAGGAGTGGATGCACAGAAAAAATAACTGATGCGAGGGTTTGTAGGGTGGGTAGGGGGAGATGTAGTAAACAGTGAAGGTGGGAGGGGAAGGGAGCACTAGAACTGAATGTGAATGTGATTACACAGCTCATTTTAAAGGTGATTTAGTCAAGAAAGAGAAAGAAAATGTTCTGAAATTGATTGTGGTAATGATTACACAATTCTTAACATGACTGAACGATTGAGTTGTATGATGTGGATTTTGTGCCAATAAAATGGAAAAGCAGCAGCAGCAGCAACCATGTAATCCAGGTCTGACGACGACACACAGAGCTTGGTGCAGATGGAATGAGCCCTTGTCGGGTAGAGGAAGGGATGAGGAGCAAGCGTTGCTAACACAGCAACTGCAGTGGCCGTGGGACTGTTCTGAAACGAGGTAGTTGCAGTGGTAAATCACTGGACTGTCCACTTACAAAGATGGTCACGGTTTGTGAATTCCAGCTCAATTAAACCAAGAGGCTGGTAGGGGGAGAAGGCTACCTTCCGAGTCCCTCCCCAGGACTGCATCATCCGGCAGAGGGCACCAAGAGAGAAAGCCCAGAACTTCACCAAGACCAAGAGAGCTCAGGGGATGCTGGCCCGAGAGCTGAAAGACTTCAAGACTCCCCGGGGACTTAAAGCAGAGCCCAGGGTACTGTTCCCAGAGAACTGGGTTTCTTCAAGGCCTGGTACTACTTCCTGGAGAAAGGCTCTGTACAGGTGGGTCTACAACGTGATTGCGCATGTCTAAAGGAAGGCACTGGAGATACAGTGCATTGCCGCCACACCAGAGGGCCGGGCTGAGCCAAACTCCCATCACAGACTCCCTTTCACCTCCCTTTGCCTTCCAGAGCCTGAGCCTGCGCACCTTAGGCTGCCCCCGAGTCTGGGGTCTCTCAATGTAGGACCACCCAGGCAGCCTGGGGCCTACTCCACCCAGCTTACCTGTGCTTCAACCCAACTCAAAGGGCCACCATGGGGCCCCAGGCCCTAAAATCTCTTCACAGAAGACTAGCCCCCAAGAGTGGTTCCCAAGAGGGCAGTGGCAGCTGGCCTTTCCTCTCCTGCCCTCCCTCAACCAGGGCCATCCTGACACCATCACCTGTGTCTGGGCCCATTGGGATGTCTCTCTCTTCGGGGTTACGCTGCTCCCACACACACGGCTCTTCCCTTGGCTCCACCTGGGGCGGCGCATCTGGCTTGGGTGCTGGGTTCTCTGCATCTGAAACAAGTCAAGGGAGAAGAAAGTGCTGGGAGGGGGCGTTACCAAAGGGTCCAAATCCAGAGTGATGGCTCAGCTCCCCACTAAGACCTCCCAGCTCCCCGGGGCCCTCAGGTGGTCACACTTAGGAGAGTCAGCCAGTCAACAGAGACCCCCAGATCGCTCTGGTCGACAGCACTGTGTCTGGAAACCAGGGGCAGACTAAGGTGTGGAGGCACCCAAGGGCAGGAGGTACCCAAGGGACCTGGCTGAACAAGGTCACTGAGTACTCTCTTAACAGCCACAAAGTTACTAGGCTTTTCATTGTAAAGCCCTTCTTCCTGGCCCTGCAAACTAATACTCTTGAAGCCCCTCTGGTATAAAGATGAAGCAGTTCTCCCCAATGGGGTGAGCACTGGCTGATAAGTCTCCCAGCCTCAGAGAGGGCATCCTTACCCAGGGACATCAGGGTTCTGTAGTTCTCCTTGACCAGGTTGTTGTATAGTTCCTTCTGCCATCCATCCAGGCCCTTCCACTCGTCCTCCGAGAAGTAGACGGCGATGTCCACGAAGGTCACAGGTACCTGGGGCATCAGGTATCCCTCACCTCAGGCTCCTTCACGCCACACCCCCCGCCCTGCACTTGGGCTCCGCCCCTGCAGAGGCTGGCCTGGTTCATCCATTTCAGTGGAGGCTGTCCCCTGCTCCCCCACCCCACCCTCACCATACCCCAACAACCGTCAAGGTCACTGCAGTCTCCCTTAGGTGGAGGCAGCATTTCACCAAACCACCTGGCTCATCAGCTCACATTCACTACCGGGCATCCAGAGCTGAAGTGTGTATGATAACCAAAGACAAGAAGGTCAAAATCCTCACAATTGGACAGGAGGTAACGTCATGGTACCCGGAGAAAAGACGGAAATTGCCAAGGATTTAGTCTTGCTTGGATCCACAGTCAATGCTCATGGAAGCAGCAGTCAGGAGATCAAAACACACTTTACACTGGGTCAATCTGCTGCACAAGACCTCTGTAGTGTTGAAGAGCAAGGATGTTACTTTGAGGACTAAAGTGCACCTGACCCAAACCATGGTATTTGCAATTGCCTCCTCTGGACTAAGAAAGACCGAAGAAGAACTGATGCATTTGAATTGTGGTGCTGGAGAAGAATATTGAAGGACACGCCTTCTTCCAAGACAGCTAGCCATTACTGGGAGGAGATAAATTGCCCTCATCCCATCAGGAGTGTTCAGGGGAAGTGGTGAGGGCTGCCCCTGCAGTGGTGAGGGATCCCTGCAGGTCAGCCAATACAAGATGACTGGCAGCCCCCAGGGGGAGGAAGCAGAGGAGTGAGTGAGGGAGCGTTGCCAGGAGCTCATTCTGGACCTTGCTCCTCTCAAAAGAAATGACTGGGTGATCCTAAAATTTTAATGGACGTGAAAGGAACACAAGATAACCTAATCAGTATCTTGAGAAAGAAGTACAAAATTGGAATGCTTACTTCTTGGTTTCAAAACCTACTTCAAAGCTACAATTATCAAAGCTGTAGGGTCCTGCCACATGGATAAATAAATAGATTTAAAAGAAGAGAACGGAGAGTCTACATATAAACCCTGATATTTTGGTTGATTGAATTTTGTGACAGAGGGTGCCAGAATGATTCGATGGGGAAAGACGAGTCTTTTCAACAAGCATTGCTGGAACAACTAGATCTTCACATGCACAAGAATGAACTGATAGCTGTAAATCATAGTGTACACAAAAAATCAACTCAAAACGTAATGTAAGAACTAAAACTAAAAATATTTGAAGAAAACATTACAGTAAATATTTGTGATTTGGGTTTAGGCAACGCCTTCTTAGATATGACACCCAAAGCACACACAACAAAAATATATGAAAATAAACTGGATTTCTTCATATATATATATATAGAGAGAGAGAGCGAGAGAGAGAGAAAGTACCGCAGAGCCTGTTGACCTGGTTCTTTGAAAAACAAGCTAACAAACAAACAAAAACAGCTTGAGAGGTTTTCCCCCTAAACCCTAAGGAGTAACCCCTGCCCTAGTTTTTGATCCCAGGGCTGTACGTACTTTTGTCCAGGCTGATATTTTCTGGGTAAAGCTATAAACAACTGCTGGTCTGATATGTTTTGTCTGGCCTTGGGCTGCAACCTGCCCTGTAATTGATCTGTTTTATGCACGTTACAGGAATTGGCCAATATTCGTAAACAAAGGATCACATGGCCTAGTAGGGACGACACTGTAACATGAAGACCACAGAACCAAAAATGGCCACATTGGACCTAGAAGCAACATCACGATAAAGAACAAAACTGAAGCAGCCAAAGATTTCCGTTTACATGATGCTCGTGCAAGCGGCAGTGAAGAAATGAAATGGCATATTGCATAGGCACAGACCTCTTTGAAGCGTAAAAGAGCATCGCTGTCACTTGGAAGACCACTGAGGCACTTCGGATGTGGAGAAAGTAAAAGGTCATTAAAAACAAAGCGGACGTCAGAAGAGACCCTGCAACCTGCACTTGAACATACAGTAGCTAACGCACATGGAAGAAATAGTGAAATAAAAGTTGAACAGAAATGTTCTTTTTTTTTTTTGAAGAGAAATTCTCAAAGGGCAGCTTGAGAAGACATGACAATGAGATGTGCAAACCCTAGGGTTAGAAAAACAGAAGGACGAACGTGCTCAGCATGTCTCAAGCTCAAAGAACAAAAGAAAAAATTCAAGCTGCAGGTTGTAATACTGAAGGGTACTATGGACAAAACACTGAGCGCTGTAGAAACCATCCAAAGCAGATAGAAGGAATAGTCACTGCACCAAAGAACTCGCTGAGAGTCAAACATTTCAAGAGGGGGCCTATGATCGAGAGCCAATGGTACTGAAGGAAAAATCCAAGCTACTCGGAAGGCATTATGGACAAAACGAGACCCCAGGAATTAGTGGAATACCAAATGAAATATTCCAACAAACTGATGGCGCACTAAAAGGGCTCACTGGTGTATGCCAAGAACTTTGGCAGGCAGCTACCGAGCCAGCCAACTGGAAGAATCCATATTTGTGCCCATTCCAAAGAAGTGAAAAATGATCAAATAATATCATTAATATCACATGCAAGTAATTTTACTGAAGATAATTTAAACATCAATGGGAGCTGCCAGAAATTCAAGCCAGTTTCACAAGAGGATTCAACTCGAGGGATCTCACTGCCGATGTCAGATAGCTCTTGGCTGAAAGCAGAGCATTCCAGAAAGATGGTGACTTGTGTTTTATTGACTATGCAAAGGCCTTCGACTGTGTGGATCATATCAAACTACGGATAGCATGCTGCGGAGTAAATAATCTGAGAAGCTGGGCCATGTCAACAAGAACGTGACACCAGACTAGATAAAGCCTGTGATATGCTGATGACACAACCTTGTGCTGCAAGAGAGGGTGCCTTAAGAACCTGCTGATGAAAAGGAAGGCCTGCAGCCTTCAGTGTGGATTACAGCCCAATGTAATGAAAGCAAAGACTTCACAATGGGACTCATAGTCACATCATGGGGAAAAGAGTGACGCTGAAAGAATCGCATGTTGCCTGGATTCACAGTGGACGCTCATGGAGGCAGCAGTCAAGCGATCAAACATGTTGCACAGGGTAAATCTGTATCGAAAAGCAAGGTCGTCACTTTGAGGACTAAGGTGCTTTGAGTGAAGTCCTGGTGTTTCCATCACCTCCCGTGTAGGAATGAATACCGTGGACTGGAGGGTCCGTGCATTGCAACTACAGCGCTGGCAAGGAGGACTGCCCGAAGAACAAGCAAGTCTATCTTGGGAGCAGTAGGGCCAGAATGCACCTTAGAAGTGAGAATGAAAAAAAGAAGTGAGAATGGTAAGACTTCAGCTAACATATTTTGGACCTTGTGATAGTTAGGCTCTGTATCAGCTTGGCAGGGCCAAGATTCTCCGTGGTCTGGCAATTACCACCTAGTAATCCCCATGATCTGACCAAACATCATGTAGTCACAGCCAATCAGTTGTAAGCCTCCATGATGAGTAAGACAGAGTGGAATGCCACACTCTATCACAATCCATTTCAATGCAATCAATGGAAAGGGCTCTTCCTCAGGGATATGGCCTGATTCCAATACAAGTAGATGCTGTAGAAAGGTTGTTTGCTTTATGTTAGGTCTGGATCTCACATCAGGCTCAACCTCGGGTTCCTGGGAATTGAGCCAATGGCCTGTCATGTTGCCTGCCAATCCTGAGTTGTCAATGGCCTGCCATCTGACCTGCTGACCTTGGATTCATTCACCTCTGATGCCACCACCGTGTGGTCTGTTCCTCTTAGGTTCATTAAGCCCCTGCGGGGACTCATGTTAGGAGAAACTTCAACCTAACATCTGACCACAGGCTTGGTACCCGCTTGGGCTTTGACTTGCCCTCTTATATAACTATGTGAGTCATTTTGTTATGCAGCTCCCTTTCTCTATGCCCTATGTGTGTGTATGTTTTATTCTGCTGTACACACGTATGTATGTATGTGTCCTTTCCCTAGATATATGTACACACACACATACATTTAACTGGTTTACAGACATGTTATCAGTAAAGACCACTCCTTGGAAAAGGACGTCTGGCTTGGCGAAGCAGAGCGTGCGGAAAGAAGAACTCGTAAATGGAGGACTGACACAGCGGCTGCAAGGATGGGCTAGAGCAGCAATCCCCACCTTCTGATGCCGCGACCTTCACTCGGCTCCTCACGCTGTGGGACCCCAACCAGAACATTATTCCCATTGCTACTTCATCGCTGTCATTTTGCTACTGTCAGGAATCGGGTGACCCCTGGGAAAGGGTCATTCGACCCGCAAAGGGGTCTTGACCCACAGGTTCACAGGTTGAGAACCGCCGGGCTAAAGCCTCACAATTCTGAGGGCGGCTCAGAACTGGGCACTGCTTTATACACAGGGCTTATCCTTCAAGACCACTCAACAGCACCTAGCCATCGCAAGGTGCACCTGACTCAACACCCCAGCTTCCTGTGAAAGTTGTCACTGAATAAGGAAGAAGGAAGGAGAATCGATGTATTTGAATTACGGTGTTGGTGGAAAGTATTGACTGCATCATGGACCTCCAGAAGAACAAACAAAGCTGTCTTGGAATAAGTACAGCAGCCAGATCACCCTTAAAGTGGGGATAGTGGGACTTGTGTCACTTTGCACATGTTGTCAGGAGAGACAAAGGATCATGCTTTTTAAAGTAGAGGGTCGGTGAACAAGAGGAAGACCCTCGGTAGAAGGACTGACAGCAACCATTGTGAGGCTGGAACGTGATCAGGCAGTACATGGGTGACCAGGAGTTAGAAGTGACTCAGTGGCACCTCAGGGACAGACAAACAAAGTGACAGTGGCCACGGCAAGGGGAAGGGTCCCTTTGTATCCCTGGTGGGAAGGCCACGCTTCGAAGGTGACAAGCAGTTTGATATACAAGTACCTCACCAAAGCTGGCAGACAGAAGAAAGAAAGAAGGAACGGCACCCGAGACAAGAAGAGGGGAGAGCAGGGGAGGGTGGCAGCGATGGACCGCCGGAGGGCTCCGCCATGGGCCCAGGGCTGTAACACCATGACACCGAGGAGCCCAGAGCGGGCAGCGAAGAGAGCTGCACAAAACTGCTACACCGCCGAAAGCACAACACAGCTCTGAGCTTCTGCATGCTAGGATGGGAGGAAGCCTGTGTAAGGATGGTCCATGTTTTCCTGCAAGGTTTCTTATCATGTAAATATTCCAAAGCAGGCTGCCTCGTGGTTTTGGCCAGCCTTGTGCTATGTTAATTAGATTGATTGACTGCTTAAAATCACTTTATCCAAATCTTACTGAACTTTTTATGTAAAAAATAAAATCAATTGAAAAAAAACAACTGCTACACTGCCAATGAGCCGGTCAGCTCGTCCTGGAGAAGCTAACGGCAGGGAGGCCTGACAGGACCGAGAGAGAGTTCCAGTGTGCTTGACAGAGGCATGTGAGGCAGAGAGCAGGGCTCATTTGTCCGACCATGAGGAGCTGAGAGCACTGGCCGGTGGACGTGGTCCTGCACGACAGGGCTGGAGTGGGAGTGACGGGCAGGCGGCCACAACTCTTCGGGGAGCCTTCCAGGCTTTGCCTATGTGCTTCCTGTTCCCAAGTTACAGTCTGTCACGGGAAACTGATCTGTGAGTGGAGTTCGGTATGACCATTAACATCACATGACAGGCCTCAACAGAGAGGGAAGTGTTGTGGGCGGGCAGCTAGTGTCAGAATTGGTAGAGGTTGGCAAAAGAGTGTGTGACCCACCTCATAGGAATCAGCTGTGAGCTGGCCCTGGTTATTACCCACACCCACCCCCACCCCGAGAAGTTAGACTTTTTCTGACACTACTACTGTCACCGTTACCCACTGATCAGGGAGCTGTGTCCTCAGTGCCATGAAATCACACCTACTTCACAGACAAGAACGCCGAACTGCAGACCCGTGGGGAGGGACTGATTCACTTCTTTCTAGAGGAGTTAGTTAAGTTCAAGGACAACAGCATGCTTGACCAGGTATGTGAAAGCCAGCACGACCCCCAACCACCCCTCATCTCCTGAGAGCTCAGCTCAAGACCCCTTGTCCAGTGCAGGCCACAGAGCGCCCCAGAGACTGCCGTGAGCCGGAGCGCACACTGCACGCTTCTGCCATCACTTTCAAAAGATGCCAGAACCTACCCACAGCAATGTGTGGCCCAGATTTAAGTCCAGACCCAGAAAATTTTAAAACCATCATTTTTGAAAGAAATGGAAATGTGAGCCATGAATGGATCTTTGAGTAGATGGATACTCTGTTGTTGCATGGTAATGTGTTTGATGTGTTTGTTTTTTTCCCGGGGGGGTTGGGCTAAAGCTTTAGATGGACAAGAGACCAAGGTAACCGGTAGCTGCTGAAAATGAGTGACAGACAGATGTATGCGTTCCTTAAGCTAGTTTCTCTACAACTGTATATATCTTAATTTTCTGTAAAGACAAAAGGGGAGGGGAGATTTGGAGACAGCAAATACAGACCATTCTCTCAACGGCTGTTGCTGTACAGAAAAGCAAAGTCTTCCCAGCGGGACAAGCAGAAAGGTTTTACATCAGAGGCAGGCAACACGAGGAATCTGTCCCACGGGGGCAGGAGCCAGAGGGGAGGACTGAGGGCACAGAGGGGAAGGGCCGGGACAACTTCCTGGAGCAGGGGAAAAGATGGGTGAGGTGTGTGGTGCGGGGGCCACTGGGGAACCCAGATGGTGGAGCCTGGGGCACAGTCAGGTAGGAAAAGTAACAGCCGCTTGTGGAGGTGCTCAGTAAAGTGGACAGTGAGGCTGCTAAGTGCAAGGAGGTGTGATGGAGCGAGGAAGAAGGGAGGTGTCGGTTGTCTTCTGGGGAGGAAATGCACTGGGAGCTGAGGTACTGTGCTAAGGGCTCCACTGGTGAGAACACAAATGGCACAGGGTCATATCTGAGCGCTGCAGGACATGGTAACATAGGGCAGGAGCAGGTGGTAGAAGGGTGACCACTTAGGGGGCCACAGCATCCACAGCAGAGAAGGGCTGAATGGGATCAGGGTTGTGCTCATCTCTGTTGGCCCCACTCCGCCCTGCCTTGGGGACACATACCTTGGGCACCTCGCCCTTGCTGCCCGGGGGCAGCCGCAGGACCCAAAAGTTCCTGTTGCGCAGCAGGTTCTCCATGTTCTCCAGCCGCCGCTGCAGCAGCCCGTACTCCTGCAGCAGCGTGCCCAGCACGGCCCACTTGCTCTCCATGTGGTTCCCGAACTCCACGGCCGTCTTCTCGCAGTCGGCCAGCTTCTTCTCGGCCGTCCCCGTGCGCCCCTCCAGAGTCAGCAGCTGGCTGGCTTGGGCGTCCACCTTTCTCTCCACAGCCTGGATGGCGGCCACCACGGTCCAGAGGGAAATCTCAGCCGTGGGCAGCTGGGGCTCTCGCATCATGCGGTCAGGGAAGACAGGGGCCCGGTCCGGGAAGGGTGGGAACTGGAAAGGCACCGGCCGCCTCGTGTCCATGTCCCACTCCTGAGCCTGTGAGCAGAGTGGGGTGAGGGGAGGGGCACTGTCTGCATCTCAGCTGAGCAGGGGTGACGTTGCCACCACTTAGCAAATGGGGCTTGGAAGAAGGCACACTGTGGTGTCTGGCTACCTGTCCCTGTCCCCTGGCTATGGACAGAGCAGCCATCTCCCTCCTCCCAGTACAGCCTGGCCACAGTAACAGCGTCTGGACCCTCGCCTGAGATCCCTGCCCAGAATGCCCCAGGGTACTTTCTGGGAGCACAACAGCTGCCTTCCTCAAGGGCCGGACTTTAGGATAAACGCCTGGCAATGGGATCAGGGCAGTTCTGCTCGCTGCGGCTCGAATCTCCCCGGCTACCCGGGAGCGGGTTTAGACAGCACCGAGCTGCTTCCAAAGCCTGGAGCCCAGGGGAGCGGTGGTCCTCTGCAGTGCCCACACTCTGCTGCGGAGCTGCGGTGCTGCTGCCTGGGACCCGGAGCCCATCCCAGGGAGGCCAGGGAAGAAGAGACCCAGACCCCAGAGAAGGACAGGGAGCAACTTGGTTTCCCACATAACGCAGAATGCCATCTATTCTAAAAAAATATTCCCCAAATGAAAATACTTTACCAAAGACTGCCCCTCACTGGGATGGGGAGCAGCACACCCCAGCTCCTGAGTGGGCTGAGAAAGAGCAGAGCTCCCAGGCCAACCTGCTTCCTGGGAGGGGAGTGGGGAGCTACCCATGGTGGGCATTAAGTTAACTCTGACTGATGGCAACCCCGTTGATGGGTTGCTCCAGGCCACACTAGGTGGCTGGGACCTCCCACAGCCGGTGCTGGCCATCCACTTTTGAGGAGAGCTGAGGCCAAGAGCATGGGTGGCGTCAGCCAGGCACCGTGCGGGGGCTGGTCACCAGCACGCTCAACTGTCCAGAAGCTGCTTGGGGTGGTGTGGGCACATCCACACCCTCACATTCAGAGCACTGTGACAGTATGCAGGGAACCCTGCAGCTTTCTGGGGGTGACTGTGTGGAGAAGAAACGGCCGTGGAGACCCAGGCCTGTAGCAAGCCAGCAGCCGACGGTCTCCATCCAAGCCCCTCGCTGGGCCTGGGGAAGGCGGCACTGAGTGAAGCCCGGGCCAGCCGGGCGTTCACAGGTGTGGAGCCTAACCGGAGGGGGGAGGGGTTGGCCACAATGTGTGCGGCTGTGCGAACAGACTTCCGGAAGCTCTGCGACCTTCCTCAGCACCTGCCTCCTCCGGGCCCACACGTGGCGCTGCCCGGGGGTGAAGAGCAGCGGGGGGGATGGGCTTTGTGGGTGCCCCAGGTGGGAGAGCACAGGCCGTATGCACAAAGCCGCCCAGCCGGGCCGAAGCCGCGGTTCCAGACCGGTCCAAGGGCCTAGTCTCAGCGCGAGCCTGCGACGTGGCTGGTTTGGGCCGAGGGCGGCGGCGGCCCTGGAGTCTGCACGGCGGCTCAAGGGCCCCGCTGGGATGCTAGTGCCCGGGCGCAGCACCACCCTGCGACACAGCGCCGATGGCACCGTGCACACGCACAACCATGTGCACACCTACCCACACCGACACTGGTGCCTACGCGTGTACATCTGCGCGCTTCCACGTGCAACGCAGGCACACTCAAACCT